ATGCAGTGACAACACGGGAAAATTTTCACTATGCTTTGGGGGTGGTCAGCCGGGTTGCTTATGACCAGCAAGGTTGACAGTTCAAGCAAGAGAATTGTAGAGATAGAAATCAGTCAGACCCTTGCGGTACTGGCCACCTATCAAGGGTGCCCCATCCATAAGGTAGTAAACGTGATCTCCATGACGTTCTATCGGTTGTGGTCCATATGGGCAACAATAGAAAGATGGATGCCTTAGGCATAGAGTCTTTCCTTCTTCGCTATATCTTTCTACTGACCCGTCAAGCAATGTGAGAAGTGTTTGATGGCTATCGCCTTAGGTATAGACTCTATAGTCTAGAGTCTTTTCTCCTTCGCACAGTCACCACCTCTCCATCTCCTGTCTTTTCCTCTTATGCTTTTTATGTTATGAATCTTATGATGATGATGATGATGATTGTCATGAACTCTACTTTTGGTCTCGCCACTGCCGGTGCGTGGAGAAGGAAACCTAATGCATTCTCTTGGAAGTAACTGGTGGACAGATGTCCTTGTCCTTGTCCTTGTTCTCTTGCGTTTTTGCGTCTTTCAGGAACAGGGACGGGCCTCAAAGCCGCTCTCCATCGCAGCAATTGTCCCGGGGTCAGACAAAGCACTAGTAGTCGGCGTGACGCATCGGCCACGACTCGGAGATCGTTCTGGAAAGTAAGTTGCCTGGACTCTGTCATGGTTTTTCAAATTTTCACACCTTTTCGCTGGGGTGGCTCCTGCCTGAAACGCTTCCAGTTTTCCCCGTGCGAAAATGTTTCCGTCCCTGGGAGATGTTCCTGTCCTGGAGTGAAGCTGTTTTGTCCTGGGGGGACTCCTGTCTTTTTTAAAACATTTGCTCTTTACCAACAGGAGTGTTCATGGCAGTGAAATGCACACATGTGTATGTTTGTGAGGGCCAAGCCCCACTGGTGCTACGCCTGCACGAAGGGAGCACGAACCTGGCCAGTGTTTCGACCACGTTCGCGCTTACCTAGGCATGAATGTAGAACCAGTGTGACACTGTCTCAACTCAGACAGAAGAAGGTGGCATCCTCTTCCAGCTTTTTACTTCCTTCGCTGATGCAGCGTCATGCGCTCTCTCGGAGTGGTATACAGAACGTAGCACCAGATCATGCGCTCTCTGCATGGCCTGAAGCCATCACCGCATGTGCTGCTATGCTTCTTTCTGTCTGTTTGCTCTTTCTGAATCGAAAAAGGCGGTAGCCCCTGACCTTATTGTGTCTATCCAGTAGGATTCGAACTCGTGATCTGTTTGTTAACAGTTAGATGAGTGTACCATTCAGCCATATACTAGAGGCTGGGTACGCTGGTAAGCTCCTGATTGAGCAGTATTGCTTGTACCCGTCAATGTTACGATCTTGTCGATTTTGCAGTACATTCGACATGATTCACGGTGCGCACTTGCATTTGATGTGTACTTAGGTGCTCTTATCAGCATCCCTAGCAAACCCTCGGGGGTTTCTCAAACAAAAAAAAACAAAAAAAAAGGTTGCAGAGTCTAATTGATAGTCCTGTAGTCACTCACAATTCTTCATCAGGGTGACTACTGTCTTCATGCAAACAGAACGCCTGGTCCTTATCACTGCATCTGGACGGAAACTCGGCCCTTTAAACCGCCAGTACACGGGGTACGAAAAATGCGGTAGGTACTGGTGGTTTAACGAATGTCTTCTTCCAAATTGAAATGGTATGGTCAAGCCTCCAACGAGGGAACACTGCTACGGGGTTCCCTGTAATACTATAATGACAATAAAAAAAAGGCCTGAAAGGCCGTCCTATCCAGATTTCACAGGTACTTGAATTGATTGGGCTTAAAGAATTGGACTTAAAAAAATAAAAATATAAAATAAAAAATGGTATGGTCATTGAAGGTGTATTTACTATTTAGGCTAAGTAACTAGGCCTTGTACAGCTTTAATGATGACGCCTTCTATTTGGGGAAAGGGAGGTGGTAGGCTGGTAGCTCTATTACTGTCAGAACTGTTCCATCTTCCCCAAGTCGTGAGGCTGGGAAGTTAATCATTTGTGGCATCCTCTTTTTGTTGCCCTCAATGCAACAAAGTTTGCAGGAATTCACTCCACTGTTATATAGGACCTCACTCCACTAGACAATGCATTTGGACGCTTACTGGACGACACATCCAAAATGTTGGTGAATGCACCTGGTCGGGAAAAGTGTCCGAGTGCATGTAGAGTGTTGTGTTGTGGAGCGACACCCCCCGTAGAATTTAATGATTTCAATTATTTGGTAATAAGTTGTGCTCACTAGTCTCGCACACTGGCACAACTCCTATGCCTTGACGATAACTTTTCAATTCTCATAATCAATATTCGGCTATGAAATTATGAATCGCTGATACAGACTTTTTTGTTTTTCCACCTCTGGCTCCTCCTTTTTGACTTTTCGACTTTTTTGTTTTTCGGACTTTTATTGTCTATGCTTCAGCAAGTTTGGCATCTACTTCCGAAAAGCGGCGGAGATGTGGGGAGGTGATTTTAAGCAAGACGGTTTCGAATCATGCTGGTTATGGCTCTGTTCGAAGGAAACCAGCAAGTTCTGGGACATTCTTCAAGATCAGTGGATGTGAGAGATGGTGTTTTTTTTTTTTTCTTCTTCTTCTTCTTCTTCTTCTTCTTCTTCTTCTTCTTCTTCTTCTTCTTATTTCCATGCAGCATGCGGCCGCCCCTGCAGTCAACGTCACGTCAGGCTTTCCTTGCTGATGGCAGGTGCATCCACCTGGCGCACCCACCACCCCACCCCACCCCACCCCACCCCCCCAAAAAAAGTAAAACCTGGTGCACCCACATTCTCCCAGCACTCAGTGGAGTGAGATGGTGGTGATTGTTGCATCGCGTTCCCCATTTTTCAAAATTGGTTCTTCGGCGAGTTCGTCTGCTCACGCATCATCTTCCGTTGTCTGTCAAGCCGCCACCACTGAGATGAAGTTTGCAGTGCAGCCAAGTCAGCAACCTGTCACAGAAAAAAAGTATGCAGCTACCCTCCTTCTGCGCATCGGCAGCTGTCTTCCAATCAAGGTAGGAACCTATGCTTCTCTTACACTTCATCCCAAAGCATATATAGTAGGCTGTTATGGGTACCAAAGGAGGAGATCAGATGGCGCTCCTTGGGTACCCATAACAGCCTACTATATATGTTGTTTTTGACAGCCTAGAGAGCTCAGCAGCAATAGTGGCGCTCCTCGGAGCACATGAAGGAAGGAACAATGGGGTTGGACTGATAGGACTTCGGGGG